AGATAGATATAGATATAGATATAGATAGATATAGATAGATAGATAGAGATAGATAGATAGATAGATATAGATAGATAGATATAGATAGATAGATAGATATAGATAGATAGATAGATAGATAGATAGATAGAGATATATAGATAGATAGAGATATATAGATAGATAGATATATATATATATATATATATATATATATATATATATATATATATATAGATATATATATATATATATATATATATATATATATATATATATATATAGAGATATATATATATATATAGAGATATATATATATATATAGAGATATATATATATATATAGAGATATATATATAGAGATATATATATAGAGATATATATATAGAGATATATATATAGAGATATATATATAGAGATATATATGAGATATATAGAGATATAGATATAGAGATATATATAGAGATATATATAGAGATATATATAGAGATATATATAGAGATATATATAGAGATATATATAGAGATATATATAGAGATATATATAGAGATATATATATAGAGATATATATATAGAGATATATATAGAGATATATATATAGATATAGATAGATATAGATAGATATAGATAGATATAGATAGATATAGATAGATATAGATAGATATAGATAGATATAGAGATATAGATAGATATAGAGATATAGAGATATAGAGATATAGAGATATAGAGATATAGAGATATAGAGATATAGAGATATAGAGATATAGAGATAGATAGATAGATAGATAGATAGATAGATAGATAGATAGATAGATAGATAGATAGATAGATAGATAGATAGATAGATAGATAGATAGATAGATAAATAAATAGATAGATAGATAGATAGATAGATAGATATATAGATAGATAGATAGATAGATAGATAGATAGATAGATAGATAGATAGATAGATAGATAGATAGATAGATAAATAGATAGATAGATAGATAGATAGATAGATAGATAGATAGATAGATAGATAGATAGATAGATAGATAGATAGATAGATAGATAGATAGATAGATAGATAGATAGATAACGGATATAAAATTACACAATAAAATGATTTAAAAGTTTTTGATGCTCAAAAATGCTCAAAAATTCCACATTTTGCTTTTACAAACTTTCGAAGAAACATTTTTCCTCAGTTCCAAAGGTAGTGCGTTCCATAATTTAGCACCAGTGACAAAGAATGATCTTCCTCCGTCAGTTTCTCGTTTATACCTTAGACAAATAATGTTGCTGTTCGAATATCTTGTATTCCGAGAGCGCGCGAAATTTAAAAGGTTAAAACGCATTTAGAGTTCCTGGGCGAGAAATTTGTTATGTGTTTTACTAATCGTCCAAATATCAGAAAATTTGCTTAATTTTAAGTCCTTTAATTAAATAGCTGCTGAAACTTTCATTTTTTGGCACCAATGCTCATCACGTATTCATGCCTTTACCTAATTTGCATATTGTTATTTTACTTTTTTTGTTAATATGTTAATAAATTACTTCTTTGTCGCATAGAACAATTGAACTGTACGACATGGCATGGAAGGATGAAATTGACATCACAAAATATCATATCGCTGCAGCACCTTATGGAGGGCCAATAGGTAAATTGTGATTTTTGATACCATTTGCAGTTATATATAGTGCGATTTACAGTATGCGAAAACTAACATGGACCTCCCGGCTCCGTTTAGACCTTAATCTGGGTTGGATCTAAACTTTATCAATCTGGTTTCTATCTGGGTTAGTTTGAATCCTATACTTGTTTTCGTATTGAAAATCTGGCCGCGCCTATCTAAAATAGGAGAATTTAGTGGTTCGTGAAAAAAAGAAGAATCCAGTCTTTAATTATCATCCTTTTTCTTCAGACTCCATATATTCATCTATCCAACATGAAAGCGGGGGAAAGTTATTCCGCTGGTATACGTACTGTATACACCTGGGGCAGGTTGCAGCTTTATACGAAACGAGTATTCAAATTATGGGATCGGTTGTTTAAAATCCGGTTGGCTTAATCCTATGTTAGCGAAAACTGCAAAACTACTGGTCATCACTACACTTCTTTCCTACACTTTCGGTCCCAGGGGCCGGTTGTTCAAAACCCGATTAGCGCTAACCCTGGGTTTTCGCTAATTTAGCTTTGAATCACCGGTCATGCACGTGGTTTATTAGCAGCACTGTTTTTTTCACCATCAATATCTTCAGCAGGGAAATTTTTATCTTGCTTGAAAATTCACTTTTTTTATTTGCTCATCTCCGTAGCTCTTTTAAAGAAACAGATGAGATTGTCTGGCGCCAAACCTCTCATTTATATCTACTCTGCAGCTGGAAGACTCATGGCGAATGCAAATGTAAGTTTAAATTAGGCTTTCTCACGCTCGGTTTATCCGCCATTTCTGGAGTACTGCCTCTCCCAAGTCTGAGAGTGCACGCACCGCAAAGGCGACTTTTTATCACTGTAGTTGTGTGTATGATAAATTTACAGTTACATCTTTGAAATGTCACACATTATCTACAGTCTTTGACGAGGGAAGACAGTACCACAAAACTGGTGGACATTGGCCCGCGTGAGAAAGGCTAGTTATACACTGTAAGACGTTTCCAACTTATTAACTATAGCAATATGTGCTGATGCGCCCTACTTTGTTATTTACTGTGTCTGACACCAGATACTTTTACTTGCCATTGGGAAAGTGCTAGACAAGTTGAACCAGGCAGTCTGCCCATGTATCCCTCTACAGTAGTTAAATCGTTAACTTTTTTCACCTCATATTTTTTTTATTTTGCACTGTCGAACACCGGACAATTTTACTTGTCAGGGGGAGTGTTTACATTTAATAATGGAATAAATTTCTGATTTGACAGAATTTTGTAACTGAGTTGTAATAAGCATGCATTGGCACTCTCAGATTCTTGGTAATTTTTACCAAAGGTCCATATGGGATGGGGATAACACATGTACCCATTTTTTTAAACATGTATAGTGGGAAGGAGTAAACCTTGTTCAAATGGGATGGTCAGTCTTTGAAGACTTGCTATGTGTTGCCGAAGATGGAACGATTTCCGTCTATACTCTTTCTGGGGACTTTAAAAGAATTATTACAATGGGGCAGGTACAGTACATGACTTTCTTATATTCCATTATGTGCTGCAATGAAATATCATTGGTAATCTTGTAAAAGTCATCACGCGTCTGCAAATTACTATGCAAAAGGATATATATTGTGATTCCTTCCTGTATACCAGAAAATGGTATAAACTTTACCAAGTCCAAGACTTGATCGCGAGACGATTTTCTCACACGTACGAAAGATCAGCTGAGACATGTGGTGCCGTGAGTATAAATTCACTTGCGCCTAGAATTTTCCCGTTGTTGTTGAGCTTTATTTCATCAGAAGCATCTATCAATAGTCAAGAGCTGGATTCGAACTCGCATCTTGGGGGTTCTAGACCGCAGCTATAAACCGGATATTTAGCACAATTTAGCAATGGACCTCATAGGGATTGGAACGAGTTTTATCGAATGATTTTTCATGCTAACTGTTTTGATGGGTCCCATCATAATACGCAGACACATATACGTAGACAAGAAATAATCACTTCCAACCCGTGAAACGACTAGCACTTCTTTCGTGAGATTATTGAATGTGATTCTAACACACGCTTGGCGTTCCCCTCCACTGATATAATTCAAATTCTCGCATCAGCCATCCAAATTCATCAATGTAGTCACCATTCTCGTAAACCCGAACACCGTGACCAGAATCTTCTATAGCACTTGGTATTTGTTACTTGTTAGTAATTGTAATCAGTGAAAACTCCCATAGTTTAATTATTCCTTCGTTTTTCTTGTAGAATACTACCTCACTGAACATGTCTTTGTAACTAAACAAAACAAATCCATTAGGAGCCCGAGTCATTTTCTTTGTTATACTCGAACGACTGCCCAGAACGGATTCTTGAGATAAATTTTCCTTTGATTTGAAAACCTCCAGCTCGCACGGACACGTCAAAGTAGTGTCAAAATTGTCAATATATACACAGTGTTGTGTGTTTTCAATTTAGGAAGCAAAAGAATCAAAAGTGATTGACTGCCGATTCTTCTCCAGTTCAATGGGGTTTGGTATTACCATATTAACAGGTCGTTATCATTTTTATACCATCAATAACTTGGAAGACAAGAGGATACGAAAATTAGCCAATCCTCCTGGTTAGTTGCAATATTATACGTTTGTTTTCCAACTTTTTACAGTGTATAGTGGTAAAGGAGGGTTTCTGATCATAATTTCGCCTTCCACTTTGACTCTACCATTTAAGGTTACAGAACACCTTTGAGCGTTAATTTTGCCTAAAATTTTTTTATTGGTTTCTATGAAAGCATTAGACTAGTTCTACTATCTGACCAAGTTTGGACGGAAAATGTTGAAAACTCGCAGAGTTATTTAATAAAATACATTTCGCTGCAATAAGAAAAACATTGAAAATGTAATATTCAAATTCAATTTTCTCCCGAAAAATGTTACAGTAATTACTGATTTTCAAACGAGTTGTGCTCCTGCGGGTTTTAACCAAATTTTCTCAAATTTTCACAGGACATAGCTGAAGACGTCAGTTTTAAAATTGTGTTCGGCTTTTTTTTAATTTTGGATATTTTAAAAATAAAGAGCAATTGACTCAAACAATTCAGAAATATATTGCAGTCGTCAAAGAAATCGCCATATCAGCGGAATGACGAAATAAACAAAAATTTCCGAACACAATTTTTTAGAACAACTATTTTGCTGTATAAAAATGATATTTTCATAAATATAACTTAAAACCAGCAGGAGCACAACTCAAAAGCGTAACGGTACCGCGATTTAAGATTTTCCTAAATAATTCTTACATTATTTTATTGTTTGTTAATTTTACAACTTTACCATATTTTGCATGCACTGGAGAACATTTGGTAAAAATTTGATGAAAATCGGACTGATATTGAGCGCGCAGTAGCGATTTTCCGCAAAACGCCAAAAAGGGTGTCCTGTAACCTTAAACATCGCTGAGTTTCTCCATGCAGGTATTCTGATTTCCTGTTTTGGTAACACTAGATCATTTACAGATGGACCTTACTGGATCTCCAGGAAGAGCAACCCAGTGAACTCTCATCCTCGTTCCCAGGGCTTCTCGGCTGCCTGCGTTGAACTCTATGTAAACTGGAAGGCTAACTCAGGGGGGGGGGAGGGATTGAAGCCAGTGCATTTTAGTTTTTCTGAGTTATGAGCAGAAATACTCAACACTGAACGTTTTGCTGTATATGAAACTGAAGCTACTGAAAAACGCTATTTGGTGCATAGGCAGCCCAGTGTTATGGTTGCCTGCCTGCGCGTGGGCGAGGCATTGTGGCATTGGGCCATTGTATAGTTGTATTATTTCCTTTATGTGACGAAATAATACAACTATACAATGCCTCGCCCGCGCGCAGGCAGGCAACCATAACATTGGGCTGCCTATGTTTGGTGTAGAATAGCCTGCGAGCAGGCTCTGCCTGCTCGCAGGCTAGGTGTAGAAATGTCAAGACTTTAGCTAAAATGGAATTATTTAAAAACTACAAAAATAATTGCCGATAATTTGCTATTTTTTGCCGAATGGCAGTTGTATTTGTATTTTTAAAATATTTTTCTTTTGGCTGAAGTCTTAAAATTTTCACACCGAATTTTCAATAGCTTCAGTTTGATATATAGCCCAACGTTTGGGATCAAGTATTTCTGCTCATAACTCAGAAAAACTATTTTGGCTTCAGCAAATCATAGGCTTTAATTTAATGTAATTTAATTTAATTTTTTTTTAATTTAATAACTTTGCCGTTACATAAATTACAAATTCTGGCAGGGTTCCCACAACAGCATAACGCCAATTACTGCGGGCCCAATAATAATATCTAACAAACAATGACAAATTAACAGTTAGACAACTAAACAAGTATGCATGCAAACCAACAAACTTACGTTCTATAACGCACTACAAAAAATTAATGTATTAATAACAGCAAGACGCTGGAATTGCAAGACTACGCACAGAGTTGCATGTATTATAGGAGTTAGCGTTCCAGTTCACATACAGTTCCCTGGAGCAACCTGGTACTCAGGGTCTTCATCTCCGCTAGCCCCCGAGCCAGTTTAAAACCGTTAGAGATATATGTATAATCAGAAAGCTAGATTTGTATAACTATAAATGATATACGGGACAAGAGGGTGTATTCAACTACTCATTATCTTTTCCAAAATATTTTGGCCACCAAAACCCCAAGTCTCATATCGTATGTCAACCACATATAGAAGTTTCAGTGAGGAAAACCATTTATACATGTTTCACCTGGAATGTTTAGAAAAAGACCTATAGGAAACGATGATCTGCTGTTCTTGCTCTTGCATTATTTCACAATCTTGCTTGGTACTATAACTGATAAATATGAACCGTGTACGAAATAATATTTCTAGTAATGTTACTGTTAATTACACCCCTCTTGCAACAGATCTTTTGAGCCAAAATATTCACCAGGTTTTTCCTCATTTTTAACCAGGTTTAATTAAAAATCTCAGTATGTCAAAATCTAGAGGGTGTCAGAATATACAACTTATCAAGTCCTAAATAGAAGTAACACTTGAATTCTCGCTTAAACCAGTTCTCCACAACAAGCACTTAGGCATCGCCGCGAGAAAGTAGGGTAGTCTGATTTTCTAGCTATATGGTTTCAGCATTTCTTTATTATTAAAGCTTTATTTAATTCTAGGATTGTCCCTTTAGCGTCCCGAGGAACACTTTTATCACTGGGAGCTCTGAAAGCCGTAGGACTACTGTTGCAAATATTTTTTAATTCTGTAGGTCTTAATGCTCCACCCAGTAGCTGGATAACAATACCTGAAGATAGAGGATCTCGTGTTTTGGTCGCAGTTGAGAGTTTTCTATACTCCATTGCAAATGATAATGTAGAAAAATTAGTAAGTCATGCTTTCTTTTACGGAAAGTACAGTATATAAAGTGTTTTTTGAAGAACACGCGACCACGCATTTGAAAGATACAAAATAAGTCGAGCAAAGGCCCTTTATCAGGAGAGTATAGGTAGGGAGATATAGATGAATTCTTTCTATGTTTGCAGTAATAAATATAATTCGTTTCGGTTTGTGGAAAACACCACGTATATTTATTATCCAAAGCTCTCGATACGTAAGCCAGGGTCTTCTTCAATAAATCTGTACTAAAGTGTTTTAGTTCTTATGATTTGACTTTTTTCGTTCATCTTTTATAGACTCCAGAAATGAGCGAGCAAGTTAATTCTTTTACAGAGATGGCGCTATCAGTGAATAATAAATATCTAGCACTTTATGCTGATACTGGCCTAGTGTGGATTGGATCCTCTGACTTGAGAGTAAGTTAACCATTTTGACTCCACTCTGCATCGGAGGTTCCAACACAACTTTATATATCAAATACACTCTTCTCCTGCAGAATTTAAAACTATTTATTATGGTTCAAATCCCTATTTTGTGGTTTAAAATATCTTGTAGTGGGAACGTAGGTGTAATGTGATTCAATTAATATTAACTATTACTAATGACGGGGCCACGTGTATATAAACTAATGTATTGATATTAAAGTCTCTTTACAAACCTTACTACATGGTGGCAGCGGTGGGATACTCGAGTGACCAAAAGAAATTAAATAAACTTATTATAAACTAATAAGCACAAACGATATAAAGACAACAAAACAAAAACATAGTATACGTACGTG